GCCCCCGGTCTCGGTGCTCTTAATTATGCAAGCTGCTGCGTATAAATTAGCCATGTTTGAAGCTAGAGTCACCTGCAGTGAAAGGTAGGTCATGACTAGGTCATCTGGAAAAAATTCGATCACAGGGCATCAATTCGTAGCTCAACATTCCTTTTCCGATGAGAGACGAGGGGGAGGCGCCTCCTGGCCACACAGCGCACTGAAAAAAAAATCTCGGTGTATTTACCAAGAAAAGGGTAAAATTACCAAGAATTCAGGGTTCTATTTGATCCCAGTTTTTTCTCGGTAAAATTATCATTTATGGAATTGGTAATTTTACCGAGAAATCTCGGTAAAATTATTGAACTTTCTCGGTAATTTTACTGATCCCCGGTAAAAACGCCAATATTATTTATCGACTGTGGTAGAATTACCGAGATAAAATGGCAAAGTTACTGGGAATTGATTACCAATGAAAGTGGTATTTTTACCGGAAAAAACAGTAAAAATACCGGTTTTTAGGTAATCCTACCAGTCTGTCTTGGTAAAATTATCAATACTTGGTAAAGAAAAAAGTGAGATGGTAAAGGTACCAACGGACCTTGGTAAAAACGCCGAGAATTTTTTTTCAGTGCGGCCCAACCCCTTTTGAGTTTATCAGATGAGAGCCAAGTATACAGGGTTGCCACTGTCAGGAAAAACCGAGAAATGTCGGGGAATTTTAAAAAGTCAGGGAAAACCACGAAATGTCAGAGAAAATGACGAAAATGTCAGGGAAAATTCGTTGAATCACCTTCATTTGCTTCCAGTGGCGTGGCGTGCTTTGCGACCTATCGATATTTCCCCATTTGAGGCTGTGGTAAATAATCGATTATTAAGGTGTTCGCTGCGAACACCCTGTTTATCGATACTTTTCCATAGGTTTAAATGACCGAGCAATCGATATATCGCATAGCACGCCACGCCACTGTTTGCTTCCTAGAATGGGTTTGAGGTTTCGAACAACAAATTTTGCCTGAAAACTTTTTTCAATTATGCCTTTTTAACCATCCGTCACATCTTCAATTGTCAGGGAATTTCGCCAAAATGTGTCAGGGAATTCAGGGAAATGTCAGGGAATTTTATTTTCTAAATTCTGCGGCAACCCTAAATATTGACGGTGTAAGTCCGCAACCACGTATCTCGTTTGCGGTGTTTAGAAATCTCCGTTCTTATTTTGTTTTTTAAAGGACAGCAAAGCCGTATCATTCGGTGAAGTTTTCTTTTGAGAATTTTCTTTGTTCAGGGTAGGAAAATTACGGCAGTTTTTAGGAATTGCTATTGAGTGGTTTTCCATTTGGACCACATTTTGCAATAAGGAACCACTATTTCTGGTTAATTTTAGAAGCAACATATATGTCATTGGTTTCCCTATGCAGGAAGGCGCTTTTTACGGAAGAGCTAGAGATAGTGGTTCCTTATTGCAAAATGTAATTCATTTAATTCATGAATGAAGTATGACAGGAAGTCTGCCAGGTCGGAAACCGAGACACGTGGTTACGGACCTACACCGTCGATATGTAGTTTTGTGTATGTTACAGACAACTAATCAAATCAAGGAATTTCACAAATTCCTTGGCAGTGTGTAAATTTTTAAAGACTTGAAAAATTCTGCAAGATTCCCGCTACATGCTCTAAATTCTTTGTAGAAATAGCAATTTTTTTATAATTTTATCGTTCGACATGTTCGACGTCAATTTTTAAACTCATAATTTCGAACTCTGTATATGCTGAAAAGTACCGATTAATTTTGATGCAAGTGTTCATTTTAGCGGTAAGAATCTTGAAAAACATCATAAAACGACGTATTATATCTAGATCGTCTCTTCCTGAAAAAGATGTCAAAAACCTCGGAAAATCAATGAAAGAGAGAATTATTGACAATCTGCCGAGTCAATTGACAAAATTTTTGGATTTTTACGTCCATACAAAAGTCATGGTGTAAAAGCGCCTATAATAAGAGGGACATAAATGACAGCTGTGTCTTTTCTGGGATAAGTCGAAATTGTTGGCTCCTCTCTGCTAAACTCTTTCCGAATGTTAAATATTGTTTTTAATAATTATTATTATTGTTGAATTTCATTGATTTTAAGGGCTGTTTTCAGTGTGTCACTCCCTCGTACAACCTTTTGATGTTCATTATTGTTTGTTACAGGACATGGCAAAAACCACAAAGATGCAGCTAGCGTCCGCGCCACGCACCCTATTCCTGCCGCCTGTGGACTGTACTATTTTGAAGTTAAAATTGTGAGCAAAGGCCGTGATGGCTACATGGGAATCGGATTGTCGGCTCAAGGTGTTAATATGAATAGACTCCCAGGTAATTTATTTTTTCGTAGTATCTCTAAGGGAGTGAAGTTTTCCGCAGTGCGGCAGTCATTAACTCATCGAAAATATTTTTTACTAGCCTCTTAAAACAAAAAGGCACTGAGGTAAGCTCAACTTCGAAGATCTAATGTAGAAATGGAAATGGAAAAAAAGAAAAAAGAAGAAGAAAAAAATGCACCAGTTTTATTCTTTTGAGTGAGAAACGAGAAACTGAATCTCTGAATCGCTTTTTAATGGCTAGACATTGGAACAAAATCCCAATGATAATGTTTCATAGTTGCCTTGCATACGAAATGTTTCATATTCAAAATGACAATGAAATGATGAAGGAAAGTCGGATATAATTTCGAGGTGTGAGGTCAATTCGTTTTCCGTCCATAAATGTTCAGCATAAGCAGAAACGTTGAAATGTTGCATCTTGAATGTATACTTATGAGTTTAGCCTCTGTATTGGAATAGTATCCCATTAATTCCTCCTCGGAAAAAAAGGAAAGAAAAAAAATCAAACCATCCAGTTCTCACCACACCAAAGACATTATTTCTATTACTGAGGCATATTTTCCAAAAATATCAGTCAAACAGCACTGTTTCTTATGCAGTGAATTTAGGAAGTTCCGTTCTCAGTTCTTTTTGCCAAGCGTCAGGAAATTCAAGACTAATTTGAGTAATGTGACAGGACAGGGAGAGAGGGGAAGACATCAACTGAAATAAAAGCACTAGTGGAAATCCCTGTAAACCGACGATCACTTGCACCAAGTTGTTTACTTTTTTAAGAGCTTTCTAATATAAGCTTGTGTGCATCACAACACGCAACTTTAAATCTCTTCAAATCGAGAGCATTGGCTTCATCTTAATCCAAGAGCTTTTCTTTTTATCAGTTAAGAAACACAATAAATTGCTCTTATTCTCCATACTGCAACAAGCTTCTTGGAATTGAATCAATAATTAAAGACGTCAAACAAATAAAGCCACAGCATATTAAAAAAAAAAAAAAAAAAAAAAAAAAAAAAATTGAGAATCAATATTTATTCCTGAAGTAAACATCAGAGATGGTGTGGTGATCTCCAGTGAAATGATGCTTCAAAATGGGACAACCCTTGCCTTTTTTCTCAGTCGGCGGTAGTATCAGACAGTCTGCACATGCAAAAAAAAAACTTAACATTCTAGAATGCACTGAGCAAGTTGTAGGAAAGGAGTTTATATTAATTTTGGCACGAGTCCATAGTTCTGGCAGTGCTCTAACTCCACCCCAAAATTTTAGGAGCCACGCGGCAGGCAAGCCTAATATCTAGGAGCTATAAAAGTTTTTGATCGAGGCATCAAGTTTTGCCAGGAGCATGGATGCAATTCAGAAATTAGGGCAGTACCTACCTACCCGTTTTTTAAGTGCATTCTATGTTTTAACGTTCGGTGAAGCTAGAACATAGAGTTCAAGGGTGGATATAATTTTAGTTGCTCGAGACAGGAGATCTTGTAAAACTGATGGCAATTTCCCTCTAATTTTACGGCACTTAGTTGTCGGAAACATTTTAACAGCATCTTAAAAATAATGTATGTCCCTGAGTCTCTGGTTCAAACAGCCGTCATTGCAAATGTTAGCAACGTAGGTCTTTCACATTATGAATACAAGTGAAAATCAAAAGAAAGTCCAAGATTTCCATAGTAGAATATTAGGAATAGTTCATGTATCATTAGGCTGTGCCTATGCAACTATAAATTTTCGATTTGCGTTCTCTCCATTCACGAATTTTTTCATCTGTTTTCATATTTTGTCCAATGAAGGTGTAGTGCTATGGAGTTGATGAGTTTTCCATTCCCCTTGTCTGTCCATTGTTCTCCTCTGTAAATGGTGATGATCTTTTCAATGCACTCATCAATTTTTTTTTTTTTTTTTTAGGATGGGATAAACACTCATATGGTTACCATGGCGATGACGGACACTCATTTTGCTCATCAGGAACAGGTCAACCTTACGGTCCAACTTTCACAACAGGAGATGTAATTGGCTGTGGTGTCAATCTCGTAGACAATACCTGTTTTTATACTAAAAATGGCCACAATTTAGGTGTAGCATTTACTGATCTACCTGTAAGTATTTAGTCCGATGATGCAGATGGTTCTTAACTTTCCCCTTTTGAAAACTCCTCTCCCTTCCCCCCAATTTTCAAGGTGTTACCTACTTTTTCTCTTTTTTTCTTTTTTTCAAAACTTCTGAAATATTTTCTGGAAACTTGTCTTATACAAAACATTTTGGCGAAGCCGTACTAACAGAAGCGGATCCAGCAGTTTGGCAACACTGGATTTTCTCCATTTAAACCTATGTTCAATAATGGATTCTTGTCACCAAGCTCTTGTCTCTGAGCACCTGGTCCCTCCAAGAATCGATAAATTTCCATAGATTTAAGTGGAGAAAAAACAGTGTTGCCAATTTGCTGGATCTGCCAATGTTTACTAAAAGTATGCTCAGAGTACAAACCGCAAATAAAAAGGCAAAGTTATCTACAATATCCGCTTGTTACCTACTTTAGGTGTTCTTTAAGGTGTTTTGGTTAGATCCTATGCACAAATACCTGATTCACTACAGCATGATGTGATGCTTGCAGATTTTTGGAGAAGTGTCATAAAATCCAGAAATTATCAATTCATCAGTTGATTGTCTAATGGGGAATTTGCAGGTGTCTGGAATTAAGTAAATTCCATGTTTAAAATGAAACTCCTGAGAAAACGGAACACGAGGATATCCTTGGTTTCTAAATTGAACAATTAACGGAGGAAATATGATAGAATAACCTAATTTTCCAAAATACATGTATTTAAATGGAAAATGCCACCAGATGATGTCACAAGGTGGCACATTTTCTCACTTTGAAATCTCTTATTCTACGATTTCCCATTTCAGAAAAAAATTATGAAAAATACTGAGAAGTCAGGTTACTAAGCACTCTCAGAATGAAGCAATAAAATTTTTGTGTGCAAATCCATCATTGTTCTCCCAAGTACTAAAGATCCTCCTTAAGGGCATTTTTGTGGCCCTCCTATTTTTGCTCCTGTTGTTGAGGCCCTTCCATCTTCCTCTGTCCCCTGCTGCTAGGGTTCCTATTGGTGAAATTGAGTGGTTGCACTGGACAAAGGAGGTAGGTAATAGAATAACTAACGGTTACCTACGAGAGACCCTATAGTTAGTCCAGCATTTTCTAGCTTAGTCTATAAGAACCACCCATTTCAGCCAATAGGATCTCTCCATAATTTCTATGTCTTCTTTGAATATCACTTTGTCTAACAATTTTAATTATCAGCCCGCTGGTGGCTTGAAGTTTCTACACCTCTCTTTCAATCCTTGTTCTAAGAGTTTTTTCTTTAAAATCGCCCTACTTAATTTTCAAAGGCTAAATTCGCTTGAATTTCACGAATAATGGCCACCGGGGTTAGAATTTTTAGTAATACCTGGATGCGCTGAAAATGCACTGAAAAATCATTTAACGCGAAATGTGTTTTGCTGAATTGGTAATTATTTCCTCTTATTTTTTAACAAGTTTTTAAAGTTAGTAAGTTTTAGCAAGTTCAGCAAGTAAATTAAAATTCCTTTTGTTGCTGATTTGCTAATGACAGCCAAGCAAATAATTCAACTGTCGTTCTGATAATTAACACATTTCTAGGGAGTGTTTCGTGAGAAAGAACATTAGCTATTCTAAATTTTTCTCTCGAAGCACGTAAAAAAAATGACAGGACCACAGGGGGGAACTGCTGCATCAATGGGCGAGAGGCATGACGTTTCTGCGGAGTATCTCACAGTTGTTGTCAAGGCTAAATTTCATGAAAAACAAAAGAGTCCATGAGGAAGTTTAAAAAAACACTCGAAAGGGAGAAAAAGCTTATTGAAATCTGACCAACCAGGAGCTAAAAGTCGAGATGATGTAACTAGCCCATGCCTTTGGCTGGGCTTCAGCCAATCAGCGAATGTTCAGCGAATGAGTACAGATTTTGGTGACTTCAAAATTGATTTTCTTCTCCATTTTGAGTAAAAAAAAAAAATCAGCAAAAATTACGGGCAGCTCAACTCATTCATTACTTTAAAGGGTAACCCTAAAATCGAAAATGAGATACCATTATAATCGAAGTGGGTAGGTATAAGAAGCAAAATGGCTCCGTCCCAAATGAAAAATTCGCAAAATTTGCAGAGATATGAAAGATTGAAAGTCTGACTGGTGACATCATGCGCTCCTAGTACGACTGCAGTTCACACTGAGATGGTAAATCATTCATTAAGTAAACGCCTAACCAAAGAAAAAAGAGTCGGCCAGGAATGAGCGAGATCGAAGCGAACTAATAACTTGTCGCGAACACGCGTCAGCCACTTGACACCGGAGACAGAATGCAGAGTGCGGACTGCGAAATGCAAGATGGAACTCATGACATCATGCGCTCAGCTGTTTTTTTGCGATGGCGGCTCAACGAATGTAGGTATTCGTTAACGGATTTTGGCATCGTTCATTGCACACTTTTTTTCATCGATTTCGCCAAACTTGTTTTTAAGGTCACTGTCCCCTCTAAAGGAAATAATTAAAAATATAGGTACAATTGTCCCTTTCATTGTCTCTTCATTAAAGCCCTAGATTCTGGGTTTAACTAGTGTAATTTATCTGAATCTGATTTTTATCTATTGTATTTCAATAACACCTGAATTTTTTTTCTTGATTATTTCAGCCTAACTTATATCCTACAGTTGGATTACAAACACCTGGAGAAGTTGTCGATGCAAATTTTGGCCAGTCTCCTTTTGTATTTGACATAGAAGATATGATCAAACAGCTACAAACTCGAGTTAGACAAACTATTTATAATTATCCTGTGCCTGACACTTATGGTACCTGGCAGACAGTCCTACAAAAGTGAGTACTTTCATCCATTAAAAAAATTGAAGAACAAACAGAAAACAATGTAAGAGGCTAATGGCTCATAATGATTTAAAATGTTCTTTGGCTTCATGTGATCTTCAGGAAAATTACAGTATTAGTTTAGCAAAACATTTGACTGCAGCCCTTCATGCTTAATGCTCTGTTGAATTGTCAAGGACATAATCTATTAGCAGACTTTGTGAGCCTGATTTTGAGCTTTTTCAGATCAATCCTTCCTTTATCTAGGAAATGATTAATTAAATAACCATTCCCTCAATCGGATCAGAAAATTTCTCAGGAATTTTTACCTTGATCTTCAAATCAGTAATAGCCTATTTATGCACGATTTTTTTGTCAACCATAATATGCTTAAGTAACACAGGCAGGCGGTCAGTGAGTTGAATTTCTGAAAAAAGTTAGATACATTTACCAAATTGTCGAAAGACATCTGCAGAAAAGGCGAAATTGTAAGCGGGTAACTAAAGAGCTAAAAAACTCTACGCACTAGGCAGCAAAACATCAGCTGATTTTGAGTCTGAAACATTCAAAACATCGAACCCCTCAAAATTGCCGTCCATGAAGAGTTGTTTTTATAAAATCGCAAACACACCGATCTCCACTTGGGCAACAGTTTACTATAGTTTGACGACCGTTTGCTTATTCTCCCTGATCTTATCTCATCCTGTATTTCTTCAAATTCAATATTGTAAACTTAAATTACTTTCTATTTCAGAATGGTATCAACGTACCTGGTTCATCATGGTTACTGTGCAACAGCGGAAGCTTTTGCTCGAGGCTCTGGACAACCGTTCGAAGAAGAGATTACATCCATAAAAAATAGACAAAGTATGTCCCATTTGTTCATGGAAGTATTCCAATACAAGTGTTTCGATGATTTTACATGATTAAAATCAGATGATTTTTCGCGACCAAAATTGCATTTACAACGGAAACTCGTATTCAGTGGTGTCGCATGCATGAAGATCAAGAAGTCTGGCCCTTTCGAAATAAATCTCAAATGCATTGTTTCAGTATTTCTCACTGGCATTTTACTTCTTCATAGGAAAACCATCGCATAAATTTGTCTAAAGTGGCTAGGGATTTTTCCTCACACTTGTGACAATTGACACCAAAATTATCAGACAAATTTGTGCAATAGTTCTCCAATGAAAAGTAAAATGCTCGTAGAAATGCTGAAACAGAATAGATAAAATACGTTACTTTGTGTGAGGAAAAATGAGTATAACAGACTTATTTTCACTCCCTTATTCCTCTGTGTGATGAAAAGTTGGAACTTCTCTCTGTATCACTCACTGCCAGGTAGAGGGCACTCCTTTATTTACATCTGTCTTATCAGTAGCATGCAGCCCCAAACATTTATCTTTTCCTAAAATTGTAAAGGTTTTCGAAGATGAATTGATACTTAATGCAAGGCTGTACCCTACTTCCCTCTTATAATGCACTCCAGCAAAAATTCTGAAATCTCCGCCCCCACAACTCCATTAAGTATCACTTGAACCTCTCTTTAATCACTTGATAAGAGAAAAAATATCTGAAACAGGCAATGAAGAGACAAATATAACTTCTTTTAGACTGAAAGAAGCTTATTCTAGGTAAACAGGGAGTAAAAGTATTAAGATATCCCTTTATTGTATGGGTGCTCAAACGAAACCTTCTGGGTAAGCTATCAGTACTACTTGTTTCGAAACACCTGAACACTCCGATAAGGTTGCTCTTGTGTAAACCGGTCGGTTTCATCAGAACTGCAGGTTTTCTGAGTTGAAACTGTGTTGCCTCGTATATCTCAATTGATCAACATGACAATTGATCATTTCTGCCAGCTCTAAGAACTCCAATAGCTATTGTTCGGGGTGTCTTCAGGTATGAAAAACTTGGAAAGCGGGGAATTGTCAGGGGATTTTACCAAGTCAGGGAAATCAAGGAAAAGTCAAGGAATTTTGTGAAAGAGACTGGATATTGAAAAATATGGAAACTTATTGTACAAAGAGCAATCCCGAAATTACGTGATGCTAAAGAAAAGGTAGCCTACCCGTATTTTTTGAGATATCAAGATGGTTTTGTTAAGAAAAAGTAACCATAAGACAACACAGAGTGTTTACACCCATTAAAATTCAAATTTCAATGACTTTTCCAGATTTTACCAGACAAAAATGATCAAAATTCCTTGACTTTTCACACCGACAATTTTACACTTGTAGAACTGAAAATGTAAAATTTTTAGAGATAATGTTTCTGCATAAGACAGACAAATGTGAACCTTTTTCTTCAGGTGTTGATAATTCAATTAACTAAAATTACAATTCCTCGTTACTAAACCAGTTTGAGATTTGGTTTGATTGTGAGGGCGTAGCGCTAATGGTTTTCCGTGAAACAAATGATCCTCCTTCCCTTGATGATGTTCTTTTAATTCATTCGTGAGTAATGGATTTGTGTATTCTGTTTTTGATGGTAGCGTTCTGTGTTTTTCAGAAATTCTGAAGCTAGTTTTAGCCGGTAGAATGGGTGAAGCAATCGAAACTACGAGTAGGCTGTATCCAGGCCTATTAGAAAGTAATAGAAATCTAATGTTTTTACTCAAGTGCCGTCAGTTCGTCGAGATGGTCAACGGCTCAGACTCAGAGGTGTGTTCACTTCCTCGTTGCACCAAAAGCGGATCTAACTACCACTCACCAAATTCAACACCTCCACGCATAACTTCGCCTCCAATTCCCACATCAGTTATCCAGTCAACCAAAGCCCTCAACGGCAACTCAAACAACAGGTACTTTTTTCTATATCATCAGTCATTTGGTCCAAGTACTTACGGTGGATGTGGAAACACAAACTAAGCAATGGAGCCAATTTAAAAAATAAAATTAGATCTTACGCCGTTGACTCATCGACTTATCAATTAATTTTGGCCAAAATTTGTAAAAATCAGTGACTTTGAGTAATGGGTCAGTGGCACCCATTTTTTAAATTCATTCTCCAAAAGAAATATGCTACTTAAAAAATTTTTAATTTTTTTTTTTTTTTTTTTTTTTTTTTTTTTTTTTTTACCTAAATGGCCTGAAACTTTCTATTTACTTTTCAATGGGTTATGTTTTCAGAAACCACTGTGATTCAGTAGAAGAAATGAATGCAGTCAACAAAAGTATGATGAACGGTGATCAAATGATGGATGGTGGAGGTGGAGGAAAGAAGGTAGAAGACGTGGACATGATCATCCCTCCACCTATTGAAAAGAACAGTTCGAATGGGCATGCCAACGGCTATCAAAATGGAGACACAGTTCACGAGAATGGAAATAGTGATGAGCAAGCTTCAGATATGATGGGTAAATTTGACGAAATTTACGTGTTTTTTGCATAAATTTTTACGACCCTTTTAGTTTTTAAGATTTATGTGTCAAATCTTTATGTTTTATTTACCAAGACTTTACTCCTCCTAGGAGGAGACAAAGGGGACGCCCAGTGAAAGGGTGGCGGCAGGGGGTTTTAGAAGAAATGAGGGAGTGCCGAGTCTCTGAAGGGCTTTGGGAGGATAGGGGACTTAGGCGGCTAGGCGTCGCAGAGCGCCAAAGAGCGCTATGAAAGTGGCTTTTATGTATGTATGTAAATTCAAGAACCACTAATCATGTTATTCATAAATTAAAATTTGGGCTATAAATTATGAATGTAATTCTTTATGAAATCATTTCTTTATTAACTAGATATTTAAAACATACAGCGCCAACAAGCAGCGTTATTCAAGAGTGTGTCCTGTATCCATGACTAAATTTAACTTTTGGATTCTGGTTCATCATTCAGATGAGAGACAGAGGAATTGATGTAATGTCATAGCCTTCAGTACTTATGCTCATCGTAAAGGGGAAAAACTCATTCAAGTAAAATTTTCCTATTTTGTTCCACTGTTTGAAGCATCACTAGTTACGACCAATGAGACCAACTTGTTTGGAAGTCCTCAAAAGACGCCAGATTGTATTTACTTTAAATGCCTCAAAAAGTTCCCGAAAGAATCTTAATTTTAAAAAATTGTCAAACGACAGCACTCTAAAGTTTTTATTTTTATTTTGGAATGTGCAGAAGTAGACACACCAAATGCAGGAAACGGTGTGAATAGTTGTAAAAAACAACTGTGCGGTGGAAGCAAGCCAGCAATTGAGCGAATGCTAGAATTCGGCCGAGAACTATATAATATGAGTCTTCAGCTAAGGCAAGAACAAGGAAGAAACGAAACCAATAAGAAAATGTTGCAGGTAAGATCAATGTTTTATTAAAATAACACCTCTAACAGAAGTGCAAAAAATATCCAATCTTGTAATCCATTGCCTGCAACAAAAGCAAAGCCTCAGCCAAGAGGAAATTTTCCAGTGTAATAATCCTTTTTTTAAATCTTCCTAAAGAACCCCGCTTAGAGCATGGGGTCAGCGGCTCTCGATGAAACTTTAATAAATTTATGTAAAGTTCATAATTGAGGGAAAGCCAAAAAATTAGCTCACTTTTGCGAGTAGAAGCTGAGATATTCGTGATTGAACCGGGACTATTTTCTGTGCGGCGGAGGTAAATTCTGCGTGTCGCCTAACCTTGCTTGAGCATTTCAGCCAGGAAACCCCCTCTCCCCACCAGGTAACTACGATGTCGCATTGTTTACACTCACTCCTTTCATCAGGACGCTCCGTTTAGGCTGTGCGATATGGAGTTGCCAGCTTCTCGCACCTCTCCCGTGCCGGCGCCGCCGGCCAGTTTAATCTGAAATGTAGTTGCTGAAACAGAATTGACAGATGCGGGGAGAGGGAGGGAGTACGGCATTCGCACCGGCCGAGCGCATAAGCACCTATCTTCACATAAGTGACGTGAGGTCTGATCGAGAACGCTGAACAACGAGAGGAAAGGGGACTCGGAATTCTTCTGCCATGCTGCGGCATGATAGAAAATAGTCTGGATTCATTTGCGAATATCTCGGTTTCTACTCAGAAAAATGAGCTAATTTTTTGACTTTCCCTTAATTATGAACTTTACATCAATCTATTAAAGTTTCATCGAGAGCCGCTGACCTCATGCTCTGTGCGGAGTTCTTTTTCCCATGAGTTTCGATCTCATCTTTTTTTGAAAATGAACGATGGAAAGTTCAGGTAATATTACCGAATAACTCTAAAAATTATTTTACCCCCACTTTAAAAAATGACATAAATCAGACTGTCTCTAGTCAAATTAGAAGTTGTGATATGAAGCCTCAATACCGGATCTTTAGAGACAACTTGCATTCCACCACTTCTTGAACTCTTGATCTCAGTTTGCATTTTAAAAGAACGCAACAGGGTGTTTACCGTATGGAGAAAGTACAGATGAAGTACATGAAGCATGATCTTTTAAGGCTGGTAAGGTTATGTAGAAAAATTAGAAGGGGTTTTTATGTAAAAGTATTGAAATTGAAGTTGTTGCAATTAACTTGAAGAAAGAGCCTTGAAGTTGTAACATTTTTATACCTATATCATTACATACATTTTTAGCCTTGTTTTCCACTGTTTTTATTGTGTTTTCGCTTTCATATCAGTCTCAGGACAGTGTCAAAATTTTTTAAGATAAAGCATCAATTTTCCGGGAGACTTTTGAAAATTTTTCATCTGATTTTTCTTTAACACGCAGAGTAGACACCTCGAGAATATATTGCTACACATTGATGGCCAAAGTGCGAAACTTTGTATCTTTATTTGCAACATCTTAGACTTCCTATCATACTTCTTTTTTTTCCTGAAAAACTAGCGTACGTAATTACTTGAAAATTGACTTGATTTTCCCTCTCTTTGAGCCGAATATTCTTTATAAATTCCAAGTTATGGAGGTGACTTGTTTCTCTTCGAAAAAGTAAAGTAGGAGCGAAAATTTTGAAAGGAAGCAAAGAAAATTTGTGATTTTGCTTTTTGGGCATTGATATAATGCCCAGCACAAGTCTCAACAAACTGGAGTCAAGTTTACAATTCTGGAACTTAGTTTTGAGGAGAAGCTAGACACAGTTTGAATCCGTCATCTCTGAAGATCAACATTTTCAGCAAATATGTACTTCTTTGCTTTTTATGGGCACAAAAGTGAAGTAAACCACTTGCTGAGTATTCTTTAGAAGGTTACTGGAGAATATTCCCCGTCTAAAATTTCAGTTCTGATTTTTCAATTGAACTTTACTAAATTTGCTCCCCTGAGAGATTGGCTGTCCTGGGCCGACATCCCTTTCTCTGTAGATGAAACAAAAATTGATACAAATTATCGCAGGAGGATCGTCATGATCATTTCTCTAGCCTCTGATTCTAATTATTTTTCTCTCTTTTTGCAGGATGCATTTAGTCTTTTAGCATATGCAAATCCTTGGAATAGCCCTGTAGGCTGGCAGTTAGACCCTATTCAGAGAGAAACTGTTTGTGCTGCTCTCAACTCTGCCATTTTAGGTAAGTTAACGGTCTCAAATGGATGGCATTATGCAATGAGGGATCAAATTTTTTTGCTTATTGAAAACAGCATAGTTAGCTTTTCCATGGAAATAGGTACTGTAAAAGAAAAGCTAAGAAAAACTGTACCTTTTGGTGTAATGCAGTTTGAATACATTTTGTACTTTTTCTGATCGAAACTCGAAATGATTATTCTCTTACTCTACTCTCAACATTATGCATGAGGCATGATTTTTCAAATTATTTACTTCAAGCCTCAAGGGCAATTTTCACAACTGCGCCCTGTTTTAAAAACCCCTCTTGACCATGGCAAATTTAGACGTATGTTGTTTCTCAATTAATTGCTCGCAAAATGTTAATCAATTGTATTTCTTAACACATTGACTGCATAGCAGTTTGTATTGAATCAGCATTGAAGGCTAGCTTTTTAATATAGCTTTGAGATTATGCTTATGCATTACTGAGCAATGCAGAAAAATGCTCTCAAGTTCTGATGGCCGAACGTATTTTGAGTCGTCTATTCGAAAATGGCCTCCTTTTTTTTTTATTGATCCACCTTTTTGTGTGCAATTTCGTTTTCTTAAATCTTTTAAACCCATTTAATCCTACGAAATTGTCCTTTAAACCCGATCCAATTGTTCTTTGTCTCAAAGAAAGAGCCAATTGTTTCATATAGGCATCTGATGGGATATCCTACACTTACTTTTTATTGCTGAAGGCATAAATGACCTTGACTTCTCTCCATCTCCTATCAATTTTTCGGAAAATGAAATTATTCCGATGGACTTGTTGTGTGGCAGTAAAAAAAAAAAAAAATATCAGGAAAATTTAATTTCCCAGAAAATAGGTAGATGACAGAAGAAAATTGAGGTCAATGTTGACTTCAGCAGCAAAAAATTATGAATGATGTCTCTTCAGACTCCTGGATGAAAAATGTTTCTCTTCCTCTCAGACGAAAAACAATGTGATGAGTTTTATACAGGGTTTTTTAGGGCAGAATGAGTTTTGTAGCAGTCGTGTAAATGATTGAATGAAATTGAATAATCGGTTAGTAATTACAGATACCAGTGTTAAGCACATGAAGACCTTGGATTTATGGAATTTCACGGAATTGACAAAGCGATCCATTTCACTGCGGTATTCGTTAAACTGCTGAATCTGTCAATTTGAATTAACTTGAACTCCTCAAAGGGATCGGAAGATCAATCCGTTAAACTGCTTCCGATAAATCGAGGTCTTACTGTAGCCAACTTTTTTAAGCGTGCCAGTAGGGCTCGCTTTTTGAAATCACTCGGATGTACCATAGTACAGCACACCGATCAACCAATGCTATTCAACCGCCAAATATTTTTTTCCTCGGACCCGTTTTCTTGTCTTTGAACCATTATACTGTCAAGCCCTGATGGTCTCTTACCAAAAAACCGAATGAACTGCTAATTGGGAACCTTTGAGAACATTTTCCCGTCAAAACCGTATTATTTCATTTGACAAAAACCTCATAGAAGCTTTCTTACGCTCGGAGGACTCAACTCTAGAACCTTCTTTCCCGCCAAAACTGTTCAGCCAATGAGCGTCTTGCACTGCAAGTGCAATCTGTGATGAGCCTCGTGACTCTTTATACCATGTACTAACCGTGGCCCCTGCAGAAATCCACTCAAACCACTGCAGTTATCTCCCGATATAGCTTTGGGTGTCAGGTTTCGAGCAAGGCAATAAAAGACGGGGAGGAGAGGGTCGCCTCGTCGAACCTATTATCTTCCACGCCCGATTAACCATTCACCGTGACGCCAGGATCCACCAAATTTTCACAAAAATTGTTTTCCGTCTATTTAGCGAGTTTATCCTTACTTTCCGTTAAAGTACAAATAAAAAGAGACCTCATTTGTAAAAATCGGCCGAATAGGAGAGAAGTTACAGTTCGAAATCCAAAGAGATTAACTCAACGCGATTTCGATGCACGGCAGTTCGCCCAAATCACGGTCGTGCGAAATGCCGCATATCAGCTTAAAATCAAGATAATTGGACGGAATCTTTAAAATCAATTTACATTCAACGTTCATGAATCAATATTTTCTCCCAAATTTAGCAAAAAGTACCAATTGATGCAAATAACAAAGACGTGAAAATAGTAGGTATGTGTCCAACATTTTAGTTATTTGGCACGCTTTTCCAACATATTCATGTTGGATTTTTCTGCTTGTTTTTCTTTAGTTTTGGTGACTCCCTACCTTTTGGGGGTGTGTGTAATTTTATATATTTTCCGTGAAGAACACATTGACCATCTTTTGATCCAACCACTCCTTTTAATTTCAGTTTCATTGTTGTGTTCAGAATCTAGCAGTTTACCGCGAAGACCTCCATTAGAAGTAGATGTGTGCCATGCGAGACAACTGGTAGCGCTGATGTCACGCTCTGAACTAGGCTCCTGTGCGTTTGCTAGTGTCGATCATTTACTCCGCCAGTCCTAATGATCTCTCAATAATGTCCGTGCTCTCGCCTTTTGTAAGTAAATCTTCAACTCCTCTCTCATTCTCCTTTTTCCTTCGCAAATTTTTTCGGTTATTCGTTGTTTGTTGATTCTCGTAAATTTTTTCATAATTTGTTAAGAATCTCTGGGTTGAATTGACTCGTCCCGCCCACAGTACCGATATTGATTTTCAATACCAAATAATAGAAAACAGTTTCTGAATATCAAGACCTTATCAACACTTGTTCCTTGTCAACAAGTTTTTACTTATTTGGTCTCATGGCGCTTGGTAAACTAATCAAAAAAAAGGTATAAATGGAAAATTTCTAAAACCTAATCAAAATGGTTTTTGATCAAAATTTATCAACTGTCAACACTTGTCATAATAACTGTCAATTGACAGTAGTTCATGTAATGTCTGCTTACAGGCAACACGTCAACCTTTATCTCAATCTTGGAATTTTTTTCAAATAAAATCCTCCATACCATGGATGTCGCTAATCGTCCTGCCTCAAATAGCCATGTTAGGAGGTCAACAAGTGATTTTCGATTGTGATTGTAGTGATGATTAGCTTTGCAAAATTTTTTTTTTCTTCCAAGGTTTCGGTAAAAAAAGTTGTACTCTAATAGCACCAATAGCAGCCGAGCAAACAAACTTGAAAAAAGCTTAAAAGTTGGTAATCGTTCCAAAAGTAAACTTGATTTAGTTATTTCAGTTGTTTCTCGTGGACAAATCGAGCATTTGCTGGCAAAATAACCATGATTAATGAATATTTTAACCTAATAATCTCAGCTGCAAGTGTATTCTTGGCCTCCTGATGGGTTCTACTGATGCTTAAATGGGTAGATTTTATTGGTCACTGTTCACAGTTTGAATTCTATTTGGTGGATTTCAACATATTTTGTTGAAACTTACTAGCAATATATTTAATTGCTTTAATTAATTTTGAATATCAAAGGACCTCAATATTCTGCACCCAAGGGATGTAAGGTGCAATGAAAAATTCAGATAATGAGTTAGTTACAATCCCTACTTTTTGGTGCTGGCAAGCTAGTTTTAAGTTTTTTTTTCCCTTCAAAAGTCGTAGGAATAAAGCGGGGTCTATTAAAGATGCATTTTAGCACTACTTCAATTTCCATTCAAGAGTAGATATTCTGCTTTTTTGTTTTTTGTTAAATAATAATGAAGGTTCAAGTAACAAGTTTGCTTACCGTCCAACAAATGATTTTTGACTTCTATACCAAGAGACCTATCTCTGGTCACTTCGCAACCCAACACCTTACAGGTGCTTGTTTGCAATAATTGAAAACCTAGATCATATTTTGAAAATTGAGAACAGTAAGCTGGGAAGATTGCACATGCAGGCTCAACTAGAGACAAAAACCTACCCATAGCTGAAAAATCATAGATCAATAGATGTTTTCTATGTAACTAAAACAAGAAATGGAAATTTGACAAGTTACGGAACTTAAATGTAAGACACAGATGTATGCTTGCTTATTGAACATCAGTTTAATGAAAAATGCATAGTGGAAGAGTTCAAGAATGTTTATGGAGAGCGGGTTCGGAACTTGGCCTCTAATCCTGGACTTCTTGTGCGTTCCATCTTGTGCGTTGGCATCTGTGTGTAACTGGACATGAAATAAACTCACCCGTGTCAGGAATTCATTAATATCTGAAAAAAAAAGAAATAGAATATGACTGGCCACGAGGAAAAGAATCTAAGATAAGGGGCAACATTACGTGAAGGAGCGTTCGACAAAAAATTTGGCACAAAATAGCTCCAAAATGTCGAAATATTCGGGAGGAAGTTTGAAGTGTACGGTTCTAATGACAGCTTCATGATGAAGTTGCTCAATTTCCTGTTCTGCCGAGGAAGGGTGCTGTATTAATCCTTGAGCGGTGCAAAATTTCCCTTGATATATCACAAATTTTCCAGGAAATTTGTGATTGTCCTCTAATTTATTAGAAATTTTTGTCCAGAATCGAATCAAAAGAACCTGACATTTTTAATAATTACTCTTAAAATTTCCTAAAACTATTTTAATAGGGCAAAACTTGGCAACTTTTAAATGTTCGTACAGCATTTTTCCCTAGCTTTGCAGCATCGCTCGAATGATTTTAATCTCATTCCTTGCGACCATTTACAGACATATGTCTTCATCAACGTAGCAGGAATGAGCTAGTGGAAAGCCAAGAAGGAATGAGTTGAAAATGTCTTAAAATGGAGGTATCTGGAATCGAATCCTGGCTATGGGAACAATTAAGTTGGTCCTTCACTGGGGTGTTTTAGCCATACAGATTTGACTCTTTATGCAGCATATTTCCCTAGCAGTGTAGCATTACATTCTGTCATGTTCAGGCTCAAAATTGTCGAATCAGAATGCAACTGCTGGCCCGCAAAGGCCCTGAAATGAATTTATTCGTTTATGGTTTATCCTTTAAAATACCTATTTATATTTTTGGTCAAAAATTCAAAATTCAAGTTCCTGCTTTTTAAGAAATAATTGCCTCCTGGACGAAGGTTCCTAAAAATGTGATTGTATCGCAACTCTAATAGCGCAGTGCTCTTTGCATTTGTTTCTATTTGAAGTATGTTCATAGGTTAAAAAACCTCCAGTATCATTCACAAAAATAGTTTTTGCAATTGTCACTTTTGTTTTCTTCCCTCCTTTTCATATTCAGTGACAGCAGATGTCAAGCATTGTTGAGGTAAATTCTCATTTTTACTTGTTTTTTTTTTTATTTTTCCAGTAGTTAGCAGTCAACTAAACCAATATCACTACCAGTTGCGGAGTAGAAACCAAAATGAATTGGGAGTCTCAAGCATCTACGATCGTTTCCTTTTTTGTGTTACTCGCTCAACAATGGATGAGTCTGCGACGCACATTCATCTCTGTAGGACAGTGAATTTCCTGTCTCGCAAGTCTTCAGTCGTCTTTAAGTACTGATCGATAAACAAGCTCTCACAAATCAACTTTTATTTTATAATTTTGATTGTATAAATTATTACTCTGGGCTTTTTATATTTTAATTTTCTGTACGTTACACATGATCACCATAGATGAATCAATTATAAATCATTTTATTTTATGTCTCTTTATTTTGATTTCGGATTCAACCTCAACGCATCAAAGTCAAGTTCCTCTGTTGTGTTAAAACCTAACAGTACCGAAACCCGTTTCGCCCACAATTTGAGTTATTTCGAGTTCTTATCTTCAAGTCAAGCATCATTAATGACGTGCCAAACCTTCCTATGAAGAAAGAATCTTGGCGTCTCCGTAAATGGAGGGAAAATTTCTTTGAAAAATGTTTGGTTGAGATAACATCTGAAAATGCTTGTAGTGTCGATCAACCTCCTAATTTTTTACATTCCCTCCGCAAAAATTTGCCGCTGCAAGTAATGTCTAAGTTAATGCCAAGGCTCTCCTCCATCTGTGATATTAGACAGTTTTGCTGACTGTTTCGGAGGAGTCTCCAGGGGTTATGTCTTACAGGAACCTTCTAATTTTGGGTGACTAATCGAATATCCAGATTGAATGTTTGTAGCATATCATTTAACCTGTAGCTTATTAGTGCTAAATCAATCTGAAAACAGAACTTTGAGAAGAAGCAAATTTTTTTGGCTGAAATTCAAAATATTCAAGATGTGAGCTTTTTGTCTAGACATCAGTGCTTCCATTATTTATACTTATCCGATCGTGAATGACAATCTAAAACATTATTTTCCAGTGAGTCCTGCGAATTGTGGGTAGATATTTTTCCCTTATCTATTTTCACAGAAACTCTAAAACTACGCAGAGTAATTTCATGTTTACCTTGTAGTAATCAAATCAAAAAATAATATAAACAGCCAAGTCTTTAGTTGGTGTTTGATAGGATCATTTTCTGCTAGTCTGACGTTTTACCTCCTTATTAGTCGTAGGTTTACGTTTCGACATAACCCTGTGATATCATCACACAGAATTTTTTAATTGAAGAAGCAAATTAAACGCCCAGATGTCTTTGGGAGTAAGTCCCAAACTACTTAAATATGACTTCTGTCATTGACTCTTAATTTAAAGGCCCAGGAAATTCAGTGTTGTCGAAGCAAGTGAATGCCTAACTACTGTAAATAGTGTACATTGAATTGAATTCTAAGTATAAGATTTAACGATTTTGAAACCGAACATGTTTCAATTTTTAATAAATGTTGAGATTTTCTAGCACCTTGGTTTCTTTTCTCATTTTCTTTAAGTTCGTTTCGCTTAGATTGAAATCTAAATTTACTATTTTTTTAAAGCCCCCAATTAATATTTTTCGGAATGAATTTACTTTCCGCAATTTCGTTGAAAACTTTGTCTCTCAGTTCTTTTCAGTAGAAGCTTGGATTTAGATCGCCTGGTTCCAGAAAGCATTAATCATTCAAATCTCTTTACCCCAGTTATTTTTCTTGTTCAAATCATCTTTTTTGATCTTGAAATTATTTCATCCAGTTTTGCCTCTTTCGTTACAGTGAATCATTAAATCAGAAAAGCATTTGCTCTAGTCCTTTGGCTTATCTCCAAGCAACTGATAAAATAGAAGACACTAGATCACAGAGCTAAATCTTATAAATTTTTTTATTCCAAGCGGAGAAGCACTTTACAAAACGGTTCTGAACCCTTGTCAACACTACTTTGGCACACGAGGGCTTCCATAAATTTTTCAAGACAATTGTTCGACCCTCTCTTTTGTGTAGGGTTTCCATATTTCTATCTGTGAGCTGTAAAACCTAGCAGGAATCTTATTGGTGTGATTCACAAGTCATGAATGCCCATTCGCCATTGTGATCAAACCGTTTAGTAATTCTGAAATAAAGCCTGAAACTGAACTTTGCTGAGTAAGTAGAGTAAGATGATACCTTACTTTGACCGTTTTTGACATGCTTTCAGCTTCGGTTAAATACTTAATGAGAAAGCCCGTTACTATTCTCAATTATAGGCACCTTCAGAATTATTGGAAAGAGGGGAAATGACAAGATATTCCCTTCAAATGTCTAAATATGCTTTTAATATTTTTATCTCGGTATTACTACACCTATTATTGCATTAAATGATGCTTAGAATTAAAAACCATCAGTCTAATTGTCAACCAATTTTGAAGGTAAGGGTGTTATTTTTGGGATGTTTTTCAGTACATCTTTTAAATATTTAATTTTGGCTGAATGTAAAAAAATCCGGTTTTTTTTCCTTCTTATTTAAATTGAATCTGTTTCAAGTGGTCATTGACGTCCATTGAAATTAAAGTTTGAGACAGAGCAATATCTACTTTGATCCAAAGGTTTTTCCTCATTAACTGGAACCAATTAAGATGAATGTGCCTCCATCACTTTATCAACTACCTAAAGTTTTATGAATAGTAATTTAGGTCTTTCTCATTTAGTATAAAATATTTAGATCAGCATAATTGGCTAAGAACAATCTCAAAGCGTTGCCTCCATTGTAAGGAAATTCTATCAACTGGTAATTTTGGCCCTGTCTCACTGGATCATATTTTAAGATGTTTGAAAAAGTAATTGTATAGGAATAGATTTACATAGTAAATATTTTCTGTAAGTATAGGGAGCCTAGATTTTGTTAGTCTGTGCTAATTTTTGATGTTGTTTTCGGAGGCTGAGATCCGACAAAAAAGGAGCAAGGAAACATGTATCTGTTGTACAAAATGTGGGATTGTATCATATCGTAAAGGTGTAAAAAGAAATATGTAAATGTGTCCTGAAGTCTGTTATAAGCCTCATAAATTTTTGTCTCTCAAATATTTTGAGCGTTTTGTAGGTTTGGAAGTAGAAATCAATTTACCCTGTCGATTTTTTGGGAATTTTTTGCGTCTTGCCATTTTTGAACCATTGATCTGCCAGCTGCTTTTTGCAATAAGGGTGTCCGCCTTACTATTCAAGAATTGATCATCTTGACCGATCGAATTCATTAACAGATTCGTAATGATAAAGTTGAGCTTTCAGTCTCCTTTTTTTCTGACAGTGCTAGCTGGGATACCACAGTTCAATGAATATCATAGGTTAAATGCATTAAAAAGTAACAATGTCAATCGGAAACTCTTCTTAAAAATGATGTTAATCAAAGATAAAATGTGAGATATGGCTCTGCAAATTTGCCCATCAATACTCTTCATTCAATTCAACCTGTGTATCTACAGGGTGATCCAAGAGCTCTGCACCATGCACCCCTGTAACCTCTAAGGTTTTTGGGGTTTTTTCTAAATTTTTGGGGGCCACAATAGTCATTACCTTCGACCAAGGAGCCCTTGCACTATTTTAAGCTTCCATCCCAATTAATTCGGAAGTTAAAGGGGTGATGCGTGGTGTTGATGGTACGTGACTTTTGAATCATCCTGTGTAGTTCCGCTAATAATCATTAAAGCAACAACACATTAGGAACCAGATTTACTTCCAATAATTCCTGTATGAATATGAAGACAAATCTTTTGTAATCAGGTCATTTATATAATCATCGTTTCAAAAATATAACTATTATTATGAACTCGATCTGTTTCATTATTTTAAATTGACAGTCTTTGTTGACGGTGTAAGTGGGCAATCACATAACTCGGTTTGCAACGTTGCAAACTTCCTGTCATACTTTATTTTTTAAATGGAAAACTATTCAATGACGATTCTTTTAAACTGCTGTGATTCTTCTTCTCTGTGCGAAGAAAATTACCGAAGGAAAACTTCAAGGCACGATACGGCTTTGTTCTCCTTTAAAAAATAAAACAAGAACAGAGTTTTTTAAACACCGCAAACGAGACATGTGATTGCGGACCTACGCCGTCGATGTGCCTTTTATGTACTGCCTAAAAAGGAAAAGGAAGCGGCATTAGTGATCGGTTAAAAATTGGACTAAATTTTGCCATGAGACCGACTAACCCACAACATCACCTATCTACATAGGAAAACTAATGGTACATATTATATCTACGGCCACAAAGTGAAACCACGTATCTCCATTGCAGTGTTTCCAAGTTTCCACTCCTCTTTTTTATTTTATGAAGAGAGACAAGCCACCATTGTAGCTTTAAATTTATTCAAAATATTCTGTGAACAGAGGAAAAATCAAGGAAGTTTTCGAGAAATTACGTCGCATAGTTAACCGAAGAAGTAATAAAGTAGGTATGATAGGAAGTTTGCAAGATTGCAAACGGAGATATGTGGTTTTGCATTTTGGCCATGGATATGACACATATTTGCTGATGAGCTCCTTGCAAAAATTCTGAGAAAACATCACTAAAATTTTAAAAGACGCAAAGCCTATCTGGCAAAATTTTTAAGTAAAATAAATTATGAAAGTCTCGAGATTGTAGATTTCCAAAGAGCTTTCGAGATTTTTTTTTTTTTTATTTTTTTAAAAAAAAGATCGAAAGTTGAGGAAACTACAGTAGATTTTATAAAAAAATTTAAACACTTTTTTCTTCAATATTATCTCTCTGAAACAGATTCCCTTCCTTTTAAATTTTAACAGTTAGAGTTGTAATGTTGAAATTAACAACTGTTTCGAAAGTTTATTTTTTCCTGCCCTTGCAATGAGGGTAATGACATTTCCTTTGCACTCGGTAGATTACTGGCACACAAAGGGAAAAAGTTGTAAAGGATATTCATTCGTAGCCAAATTTATTCTGATGAGCCACGAATTTTCTTGATACCTACTTTCTGAAAATTTTCCTTGGAATCTCGCACAAAATTTGATTCACAATTCAATCAAAATGGCTTGAAAAATGTAACTACTCACTAATGTGAATACCTATGGATTCAATAATCCCTATAATGCATTTTTTTGAGGCACTTTAACAACCTCCATAGGTTGTTCTTCAGCGTTAATTCTTTTCTAAATACGACAGATACCTTATGGAGCCACCATTTTTACAGTGAAAATGCAAAATTGAGTGTTTCGGTTTGCAATACTGCAGACTTTGAGTCGTAATTCACTTTTTAGATTGAAAAAATATGTACTCTGCAACAGTTTTTGAAAAACTTTCCCGTTTTCTCTTTTCCTTGTGAAGAACGGTCCGTGAAATATTCCGCAGTTTGTTTTCTGTTGACACTGAAACAGCGCGTAGATAATAATAGAAGTTTTGAAACGCTGCAAACAAGATATCGCCGGTGGCCGGTGAAACTCCCAAACTACATATCTCGTTGCTATGTTTCAAAATCTCCACTCTCTTTTTGTTTTTTTTTGAAGTAGAATAAATCAACATTATTCCATGAAGTCTTCCCAGAAATTTTTTGCACTGAGGAGAATAATCAAAGAGGTTTCAAAGAGACGTTGAGTAACTTTCCAATTCAAAAATAAAGCATGACAGGATTGCCAGGAAGTCTGCAACGTCTGCAAACCCGAGACAGGTGGTTCTGGAGTTTCGCACCAGCGATACATCACTTTCGAGTCAAGGTATCACAAGCGCCATGCGACGTTTGAAAACTTCCGCCGTTGCTCTTACAGAGCAAGTGTTCAATGAGGCTGTCCGAAAATTTCACTGAATTTTGTTTGTGCTGCTGATAAAATTCAGTGTGGTTTTCCAACAGATTCAACCCACAATTTCTCTGTAAAAAAATGAAATTCCGGCGGAAATTTTTAAACGTCGCATGGCGCTTGAGATACTTTAGCCGGAAGGTGACGAATATCGACAAGGTAATTCCTTAAACGCGTATCTCGGTTTGCGATGTCGCAGACTTCCTGCCGTACTTCATTACTTACTTTATTTTTCAAACGGAAAACTATTCAACGGCAACTCTTTAAGTAAAACTGCCGTGATCTTTCTACTCTGTGTGAAACAAATTCGGCAAAAACTTCAAGGAATGATGTCAATGTTTTCTCCTTCAAAAAAATAACATGGAGGCGGAGAATTTCAAACACCGCAAACGAGATACGTGGTTGCGAACTTACGCCGTCAATGTGCGATTTTGGTGTATCACCGTGCGTCGATTTAAATTTTACCGCGTCAACAGCGATCAGTTCTCGCAGAGCGCAGCACCCTGCGGGCGGTTTTAACTGCGGCGTCGGCCGACAGAGCGCGCGACACGCGGGAGCGCCGTCGGCGGGGCTCACGAAAAAGTCGAAACTGGGGCGGAGTCAAAAATCCTCCGGTTTGTGTCAACGGTTTCTAGTTTATCCAGCGCGGGCGCAGCAAGCACAAGGCAGCCTGCCCCGTTCCACTGCGAGCCCAGTCCGAGTCGAGTGTTCCCTCAGTGCGTGCCGCCGTCCCGTCTAGTCCCGTCTCCCAGGAAGGGCAGATCTCCTCATCCTCCCAGGCCCCACCGGAATCGAACCCGGAACCCGTCACCGCCGACTCCGAGATCCGCGCGCGAGGATGGGCGCCTCCAGTTGAAAGTGTGACCCCGTTGATTATGTGTTGACAAGTGATTGTGCGGTTGTGTTCGAGTGCGGGCCAACGATGGCGATGTGTTCCCCGATATATTTCTCCCCCGCGGCGCGTCTGTGAGCCGAACCCTGGAGTTTGATCGGCTGGACCGCGTCTCATTCCATTGCTGCGAGCCCAATTGTGACGGAGCTGGTTTGGTCACTTTAGTTCGTGAAGCCGGCCGCAGAATGGGGTGTGCTATGTCCGCGGAAGAGCGGGCCGCTCTCGCCCGAAGTAAACAGATCGAGAAGAACCTCAAAGAGGACGGCATACAAGCCGCCAAAGACATTAAACTCCTCCTACTAGGTGAGCTATCACACACTCTCTTATCACCAAACTCGACCAACACCCTACCCTCACCCCCCAGCCCACCACAATCTTCAACCAAAAAAAGGCAACGCCTTTCTCCATTCATTCACTCTTCCCCACCCCCCAAAAAAACCCCACTCGTAGTGTAAAAGCTCAACGAGCTTAAACCTTCAAAAACGCAGTGATTATTCATTCCTCTCCTCAACTTATCATATAGACCTCTTCCTCGCAACGTTGTCAATTCGTCAACCCAAAATTCACGACGAAAGAAGGCAACGCCTTAACCCGGTCAGCACACCATCATTCCCCCTCAAAATGTGTAAAATCTCGTAGCTTTCTACGGGTTTTTTCACTTTCCAAATAGCATTTAACAATCCCTCCAGCCCGATCTTAAAAAGTTTGGCGGACGTCTTTCTCGCAGGGTTGTCAATTGGTGACCCCGAATTTCCCCGGAAACCCATCGCTGGCTGATGATTTGAGGGCGGCGTTCGGGGCAACGGAAGGATATGTTTTTTTCGGATGAGGGATGGCGGTCTGGCGGCCAATTGTTGAATAAATGGTGGGGTATTGGCGGTGGGCCGGGCGGGCTGGCAACGCAGCACCTGCTCAATAGTATCATGGGTGGAGCCACGCGCGCATGTGAGAAAGCGCCAGGCGCCCCGCGTACCGGTCGCGACCGATGCCATCCGCCGCGCCGCGCCACGGCCGGGGAGTTTTCCTCTCCGAGTTTTCCCTTTTATCGTATGCAACGGTCAGTTCCGTCGCTTGCGATATGTCGATACCGCCCCGGTGATTCCTGACGACTTGTGTCGCCGGGAATTTCGGGTTGGCCGCTTGAATTTTACAGGGTTGCCTCGGTTGGGGAATTAAAAAAAAAAAGTTCGGGGAAACCTGGAGATGTGAGGGAAAATGCCAGGGAAATTCGACGATGAAACTACCAGACCACGTATCTCGTTTGCGGTGTTTAAAAATCTCCACTCACATTTTATTTTTTTGAAGGAGATCAAATCAATATCATTCCTTACAATTTTCACAGATTTTTCTCCGCACAAAGAGGAAAAATCACGGAAGTTTTCACGAATTGACGTTGAGTAGTTTTCTGTTTAAAAAATAAAGTATGACAGGAAGTCTGCGACGTCGCAAACCGAGATACGTGGTTTGATAGTTTCACCGTCGATAAGCGCCATGCGACGTTCAAATATTTCCGCCGCCATTTTATTTTTTTACTGAGAAATTGTTGGTTGAATCTGTTTGGAAATTTCACTAGGTAAATTTTATCGGCAGCACAAAGAAAATTCAGCGAAATTTTCGGACAGCTTCGTTGAACAATTTCTCAGTAAAAAAATAAAATGGCGGCGGAAATTTTTAAACGTCGCATGGCGCTTGTGATACTTTGCCCGGAAGGTGACGATATGTCGATACTGCCCCGGTGATTCCTGACGACTTGTGTCGCCGAGGATTTCGGGTTGGCCGCTTGAATTTTACAGGGTTGCCTCGGTTGGGGAATTAAAAAAAAAAGTATGGGGAAACCTGGAGATGTGAGGGAAAATGCCAGGGAAATATTGTAATTTCAAATGTATTTCGACGGCGTAAGTTGGCAATCACATAACTCGTGTGCGGTGTTTGAAAATCTCCGTCTCCGTGTTATTTTTTAAAGGAGAACAAATTGACATAATTTCTTGAAGTTTTTGCAGAATTTTCTTTGCGCAGAGAAGAAAAATCACGGGAGTTCTAAAGAATTGCCGTTGAGTAGTTTTCCGTTTAAAAAATAAAGTATGACAGAAAGTCTGCGACGTCGCAAACCGAGATATGTGATTGCTGACTTACACCGTCGATTTGCTTTCTAGAATGGGTTTGACGTTTCGAATAGTAAATGTTGCCTGAAAAATATTTCAAATTTCAAATCTGAATCCGTGGTACTCACGGAGGTATTAGGTAATCAAAAATCACGAATATGTATAGAGTTCAGGAAATGTCAGGGAATTGATAGCAGTCGGGGAGTTAAAAAAAAAGTCAGGGAAAACCTGGAGATGTCAGGGAGATGACGTGAAAGTTAGGGAAAAATCATTAAGCCTCCTTTATTTGCTTTCTAGAACGGGTTTGACGTTTCGGACAACAAATTTTGCCTTAGGTACTTAAAACTATTTCAAAACATGTCTTTTAAACCATCTAGCATAGCTTCAATCGAGGGGCTAGGAGGACAAGGCGCATACTTAAGTGCAGTTTTTGCCATTTCGAAAAATGCGAAGTTTCGAAATTACATGGTCCTTATGGCGGAAAGAAAGTTCGAGGTGACTTTTTGATGCTTTAAACTGGAATTTGGGAGCTAATTTTTCACAGAGTATGCATTCAGACTAGTTCTACCTGTAATCATTAATATCTAAATTTTTTCAAAATCCGCACTTATGCGCCTTGTCCTCTAAGCCCCTCAATTATGTAAAAGAAGTCAGGGAAAACTGGAGATGTCAGGGAAAATGACGCAAGTGGCAGAGAAAAATTGCTAAGTAACCTTTATTTGCTTTCCAGAGAGGGTTTGACGTTTCGAACATCACATTTTGCCTAAAAACTATTTCAAATCATGTCTTTTTAACCATCTGACATATCTTATTCAATTGTCAGGGAATTTCATTCCACAAATTCTGTACCTATTCTCTTAAAAAAATGGAATAGGGGCGGAAATTTTCGGGCACTACAATCTATATACGTGGTTTGGTAGTCTCACCATCGAATGCGGCCCACCTGTCGAAAGAGACTCTATATTGATCCATGAAATCGAAATTTCCGTAGGGCGTAGGATTAATATTTGTCGAATTGTAATACCCGTGAGTTTTCAACGGAAAATACTCTTTGATACCCAAGTATCATTTTTAAACGGAGAAATCGCGATCTTTTGAAATTAAGTCGCGATTTTTCAAAGATTTTTCGGCGAATATATCGCTATATGATCATCGATATCGGAGCGAATATCCTCAAACTTGTCGCAATTTGATGCCTGTAAAATCGCGCTCGATAAAATTGAAATTTTATCTCAGTTCATCACGATTTTTTTGTTTGATGGAATATCGATAAATCGCCTTCGTCAAAATCGAGATATTATCGCAAAATGCGAATGAAATCGAAATACTTTATTCGACATTATTGCAATTATTCGACGTCGATCAAATCGCGATACGTTCTCCTATCAAATCGCAACTTATCGTAATCGCTGCTACTTGGATAGGTGTTGATCGGTGGAAAGTAAATCGAAATAATGTCCATGTCAAATCAAGTTCTTGAACCGTTATTAAATAGCAGTTAATCATTTTCAGTTCTCTAGAATATTCATATCAACAGCCGGAAATTACGGTGATCAAATACATTCTTCTCAGGCTTGATCTTAATCATAATGACAGCTTCGAATCACTCTTTAAAAAGTGAACTCGCTAGTACACTTCGTACAGCACGCTCGCGAGTTTTTTTAAAACGAATGGACCAGTAGACGAGGCATGGATTTCAGCATTCTGATACACGTTTCTTAACCAAAATTTCACGTAGAACACGACGCGCACAACGAAAATCAGGTACCGGGATCAACTCCTTATGAAGATATTTAATGATTCTTGATGCGTGAATTCAAACCACCCGCTCATGAAAGCTCAATGCTCTACGTGATTCACATCGCGCGCTAAACGTTATCATGAACGTCTCTGCGATAAAAAAATCTGGCAACCTCAATCTTGACGCTTTTTCTCAGCTATAGCAAATTACTTATAGCTTGAAAAACGCATGGTGGGAAATGAACATTGCTCGATTGAGAAGATTGCTGAAACCGTTGTAGTGGGCGATTTGACTCACGTAGAGCTTTGAGTTTCTTGTGAGCGGGCAGTTCAAATTCCTCGTAACCAATGTGAAATAAAATTGTTAATATCTCCGTTCGGAGTTGGTTTCAGTAATTTTCATTGCGCGAATCGTGTTCTACGTGAAATTCTGATTAAGTTACATGTATCAGAATTCTTAAATTCGTACCTTGTCTAGTGGTCCATACCGTACCTAAATACGGTTTACATGACCGGCATTTTTTCTCAGTGTTTTTCCATGCCAGCAAAATCCATTCGGTATTTCTAGCTAGTTCAGTACTGCCGTGAAGGAAAAACGCCGTATGAACATTCGAGAGTTGCCAAATTTCCCCATAAGTAAAATATTTATTTTGGATGAGTGTTATAAATATTTCCTCTCGAAATGTTCAGATAATTTAGATTTAACTACAAAGAAAATTCTCTGAAAAATTGACCGGAAAATGTTCACGAGTTTTCCTGAAAATTCGTATGTAATGAAAGAGAGTTTGGCAACTGACGAAGGTGCATACGAAGTTTTTCCTTAACACGGAAGAGTATATTCTCGTCTTCTCCGCCACTTATCCGTCGAAGGCGCAGAATAGCGAAGTCGCAAGAGGAGCGAGGGGGGAGGGGGTGAATTTCAATTTTTGGCAAGCTGTGTTGCGACTGTTTTCCATTCATATCCATGTGCGAAACTCGGCCACGACAACGGAAAAAGCGCACCTGTTGTTCATCAATGGCTTCGTTCCGTAATCTCGTATCGTATTTCTGCCAACTACAGGTGTCACCCGCGCGCGTGACAATGCGCCGTATGGAACCCCGTTGTGCGAACTTTCCGTCGACGGCGAACTTTTTGGAAAGCGCCCGATGGATGAAAGTTGTTCTAGCTTAAAAAAACTTAAAAGATACTTAAAGGGGGTGGTCGGGGATTGGTTTCTTATAACTGGTGGATTCTCTGATGAAGATATTATGGCAACCTCGCTCAACTTTTTGTCACCCCAAAGTGACCCACTCTGAATAACAGAAAAGAAAAAGACTGCATCGAATTATTTTTTACGGGCGATCCCCAATTTCCATATTGGTTCTATTTTCGACTCGTTTTGCGTCTCTACCAATGGTCTCACCGCGGAGACCAGGTGCGAAGGGGGGGGGGGAGGTGTTGAGGAAAGAAGGTGAGAAATG